AAACCCGGGTTTAACGCGCCATTAGCCGGGTCCCGGCGTGGCGTTGTCTCTACGCCAGAACTTTTGCTGTTCAGTACCAGTGCCCTGGGGATGGCCGACGTTGGCACGCGCTAGGCCTGCTCCCCACGGTGCCGTGAAGCTGCCGGGTAGTGCTCCTAAATCCTTGCGAAGGTAACGCTGCCTTGACCTTGATTTAGTTGCGTTCTTCATAGGGCAGAAATACATTCACCCAAGGGTTAACTGCTTTTTTTTCCTGATTCTTTAATTAGAATCTGCAAATATCCGTATTGAGCTTTGGCTCATTTAGCTTCCATCTGGTAGAATTATCTCCCCAGGGAGACTTTTGTCAGGCTCTGCTTTAATCATAGTAAATCCGAATTTAGGCACTAACAGATTTTTATTGTATAATATGTCCTGTTTTGATGTTTGAGATGCTACAGAGTCAAATGCTCACAGGGCTGTGTACACCTCAATTATAAAAATAAAACTGCCATTAAATACCTGGTTACACAGTTACGTTGAGGGAGGTACTAGAGCTACTTGTTTACCTGCAGATCCTGGCCTTTCTGGTTCTGCTAAGTGGCTGGTTTTCTTCAAGTATCTGAAGAAAATGCTTTCAGACTCGTGTAAATTGTGGGGTTTTTGTAACCAATTCAGGAAGTAGAGTTGGTTTAGTAACTGATGTAGCGGTCAGTTACCTGAACAAATACAGCTGGATAACAGCTAGTAGCGGTTGAGGATAGTGTACTGTCATTCATCATCCTGTGCAAACAGTGGAAGTGTATTATGTAAACACACATTAGCAGAGGTGAATTTTCATTTCCTACTGCTTGGTGTCTGCCGGTTGGTGTGGTACAGCTTTGGCTACGCCTGGTTCAGGCCTTAGTTGGGAGTTTTGGGTGACGTCGGCAGAACTCAACTTGTAAAGGTGTTCGGTGGCTTCTGAATGCACGTAGCATCTGACTATTTCTCTGGGGGGGTGGGGAGTGATTTACAAAGTCAGGTTGCGAGCAAATGACCAGACATTGCAATATCCTCAGCAACTCTGATGGCTTTTCAAGTTTGAAACAAAAGAACGCGAGCGTCTTGTTTCCAGGCTTCCCGATGATGCTATGCCTGGGATGTTGCGTTGTCTGTGCGGCTGCACGGGAATTGCGCAGCGCGGTTCTTGGAGGAGCCTAGATGTAGTTTCATTCATACAGAATACTTTATCTGAAAGCAGTTCTAATTAAGCTCCTGTTAACTGGAAAGCTTAGTGGGGGGGAGGAAGGCTTTGAGAAGTCCAGATTTCTGGGCTTCAGGTAACTTCCTATATTTTCTGAGTGATTCTTGCAAATAGTTTAATTAGAAATAAAACTAGAAATACCTGCAGTTAGAAGTGTGTTACAAGAATTAAAACACTGCTCAGGCTGACTGATACGTTCCAGTGACATGCAAGGCTTCCTGGAAGAAAGGTGAAAAGGGAATCGTCATGGATTAAGTGATACTTTTGTTTCAGTTTGGTTTAAATATGGTCCCTGGCATTGCCATTGCTTTTTAGCGAAGTTCTGTCCAGCTACAATCTTGGGCTGCCTTTTTAATAAGGAGATGCAGAAAACTGCATTTGTCAGCTTTGAGTTGCTGTGACCTAAAAGAACCCGCTGAAGTCTCAGCAGTATTAAAAGTTTTCTTGCTGATAAACTTTCTAAACTGAGCTTATGGTAAAATACTGTGAGGCTTGGTTATCTTCTCGTCACAAAGCGCATGTTGCCATCGCGTAACTTCAGAGGTGCTGGGGGAGAGGGCAGGACTTTCACACCGGCATTTTGTGTTAGCAGTTTCTGCCATGGGAGTAATTAATCCCTACATTACAAACGTGCTTGAATTTTTCAGATTTTTTTTTTTCTATTTTCTGATGTATTTTCCCAGCAATGTAGTTTCTGTGGACTCAAAGGAAGTATCCTGTGAAATACCCTGGAGCTTTTTGTTACCAGACCATTGTTTTAATTTTTAATGCTTTGCTGAACTTCGTTAACAGCTGAAGGAGTGTGTCGAGCCTCGTCGTTTAACTGAAATCATGTCTTTACCGAAGCAAAATGCATGCAGGGCTTTTTAAAGCCAGTCTTGTGAGCTGTAGGAATAGGTATGTGAAGCAGCAATGTTCTATGACCAAATTACTTTGTCTCAAACTGAATAAAAATTGCCTTCTTGATTACAAATCTGTCAACAAGTTTAATTATAATAATGGCAGAAGTGAGATCTGGTATGAATCAACTGTCCTTTAGATAGGAGATCAAGGGAAAGGGTTTGTGCTCTGAGGTGTAGAGACACAGCCAAAGGATTTGTATTAATGGGGTGGAGGATCAGTGCAGAGAGGGGACCAGAAGACTAATCCGTGGACGATTTGGATAGGGCTGATGGTGGTAGTGCAGCGTTGGTGTCGGCAGCGGGACATGTCGTACAGGGGGAGGGAGGGGAAGCTCCTCTGTGCCCTGTGTACTCTTGGGGAACCGATTGGCTGCCTGAGTGAGGTGCAAGAGGGATGGTCACAGAATGCAGAAAGGGAGGGTGGTGTGCAGTGTGACAGGAGGAAAGATGAAAGGGACATGAGGGGAGAGAGTGGTGAGAAAGATGAAAGGATAAATAAATGCTCCAGGCTGGAAAACGGAAGTGTGTTACTGGAGAGGCCTGATGTGGCCTAGTTTAAATCACAAAATAATTCTCAGTGTGCACTGCAGAAAGTTGGAGTCGTTCTAGGATATTGTTGGGGACGAGGGGAGGGGGATGTTAGTCATCTGACCTAAGACTGACGAAGTGCAGACTTTGTAGGAGTTACCGCAGGGCCTTTTAGATGTGGAACATCATCGTCCTTCCTGTGTGATGAGTGAATACCTCTTCCTCTTTTCCTGGGTATCGTTCATGGTTAGCTTTTCGTGTCAAAAACCCTACCATTGTACCTGTGGCTGAAAATCAGTGAAAGTCCCAAGAACAGCTATAGAATCGACAGGAATTTACATATGAAGTCTCTGCTAGTGTTTATAATCTTCTTGGCCAGGCTGACTGTACCTTCTGTGTACTTCAGTGTGCACCATCTGTTTGCATTAGGATTTAACTTTCTGTTGCATTTGTTGCTTTTTTTTCCCTGAAAATGAATTGAGATGTGGCAGTTGTTAAACAGCAGATTTATCTGTGTCAGTTACACCTTTTAACCTAGGGCATTAACTTTTGGGTTTTGTTTATAGCTCATACACAGTGGTTTGAATCAGTTTTGAAATATCAGTGGCTAAATAGTAGAGTTTAATACTACAGCTATATTTAGTACTAAGATTCTAAGCAGGACTACCCATCTGTAAAATACCTCTGCCTTTTAATCTCCCTATCTAAAAATGACCTTTTACATGTGTTTGTTTAGACGTGAACCGTTGGCTCTTATCAACCTCAAAAAGAAAAATGAAGAAACCGGGGAAGAAGAACTTGCCTCGCGCTTAGATCACTGCAAAGCAAAAGCCACCAGGCACATATTCCTTATCCGTCATTCTCAGTACAATTTGGATGGCCGGGCTGATAAAGACAGGACGCTGACCCCACTTGGTATGTATGGCGAGAAGCAGGGTACTCTGCTTTCTGAGAAAATGCTTTGATGTCTGAGTACAGGTCAGTAGCTCGGCTCTGTGCTGGGTCTCACTGCCAAACCTTAAGCCACCTTCTGCATCCTTTGTGGCAGAATGATGTCTAGAGTAAGTTTGGGTTTTTTCCACTTTTGATCATCTAAATCCAGACATTAAAACACGCTTTACAGAGTTCTAAACTCTGTAAAGAGACTTCACAAAGGAAATTTCCAATTATCTTAAGGTTGCCTGAGCAAATTTTCCTGCTAGCTGACATAATTCCCCAAGGCTGAGCTTTTAAATTTAACTCCATGACTAACTTTGGGATGGAATTCTCTTAAAAGGTGGTTCTTGTTTCTGTTAGTTGATTTGCTGATTTATTAAAAAGAAAAAAATTACCCCGACTTTCCTTTCAGTTGAGGTGTTTATAATTCAATACATTTCACTTTTGCTACTAAGCACTGTTTCTGGGAGTACTGCTAATCAGTTACAGGAAATGAGGATAACTTCTGTCTGTGTTAAGATTAACTCCTTGACCCTGTGACTAGGCCTCCAGTGTTAATTAGTGTTATTTTAATAGTGCGCTTAAAAGGCAGTGGGCACCTGCTTGACGATATGTATGCCAACGCCGTTTTGAGGGGGAAGGAAAGAGTTGTGCCGTGCTGCTTGAGGCTTTGGAAGTCTGATGCCAAGTGTTTAGTATAAACACCCTTTTTTTCCCCCGAAGTCTGAATCGCCAGTGTGCAAACAGGAGTGAAATGCTAATTTCAGGACTAAGGTGCTATCTTAAAGTGGTAACAAAGTATAATCTTAATGGTGTCTTACCCTGTGCTTTGGGTAAGTTAGTTACGCTGTCTGTTGTCTTTTCACCTACCTGCCTACATTAAAGCCTTCCCTGGGCTATCCAAGTGTTGTGGTTCTTGACTGTTCCAAGCTGTTGTTACCTTTATGAAAAACGCAGTGTCAGGTCTGAGTGGGTCTGTTTGACAGTCTCTGCATCTCTGCCCCCTGCACAGAGAGATGAGAGATAGCTTGTGTCAGCACTGTCTTTTCTTGGAAGTGGCTCCCTTGGGGTGGGGCTAGCAGGGATATTGAATACTTTAGTGGAAGTCTCTGAATAAGTTACGATTTTTTCTTTTAATTAAAAACCAAAAGAAAACCAACTAATTTTTCCTGTGACAGAAATACGACTTGAAGTTGTCCAGCCAATAAGCTTGGTCTGAGTAGGTGGTGACTCTAGTTTTCCAGTTACTTTGTGAGAGGAAAAAACCCCTGACGTTGATGGAGACTTTTTATGTCTGCTGTACAACTTTTTTGGTAGCTTCTGTGAAGTGCTTACATGAGTGTCACCAATTTAGATGATTATTAATTTTAAGGTCGAGAGCAGGCTGAACTGACTGGACACAGGCTGGCAAGTTTGGGATTAAAATTTGATCAGATTATCCACTCCTCCATGACTAGAGCAACTGAAACAACTGAAATTATAAGCAAACATCTACCAGGTAAGTGACTTCCCTTAATTTTTAATTGCCTTCTGACCCTTAAAACTGAAGCAGGAATCTAAGCTTGTCCGTAAGGTTGAGATGTTATTTAGCCGAGTTCCAGCCCTGTGCGTACAGGGTATTTATAAAGAAACTGACAACCCCAGTTCTGCTTGTTTCCTGTTCGTCTTTAAAAACGCAAGAGGGGTCTGCCCCTCTGAGCGACTAGCTGCTGCCTGTATGTGCTGCGGCGTAGAGTACGCTGCTGCCTGCTCTTCACTTACCGTTCTGCAAAGCAAAGACTCGCCGGTCATCGGGAGTGGCTCAGTTCTCAGCCTGGGGATGATAGCGCAGGAGAGAAGGGGGTCATACACTCCAGTTCTTCCGTGACTTCAGCTCACTGGGTTAGTTAGGCCTTTCTTGTCTGCTGTGCTCTCCTCTGAGCTGGGGAAGATGTGGCACCCTCATGAAGGTGTAGGGATTTTTTTAATGTGGGTGCTTTGTTCGTAGGGGTTTTTGGGATGTGGAGTTTTTGGTGGGTTTTTTTGTTTCATTTTATAGGTGTTTTTTCGTTGTGGTTTGCTTTTTTTCTCCTGTATGTATCAGAATCTAAACTAAAGATATTTGACTTCTGTCTGGTATTTTAGCAAGGTATGACTAGCTGAATGTCAGTTCTCCTCACCATTCTGTGTTTGCTTTCTTATATGCACTGTGTCAAAAAAACCTCAAACAACCTCCCCAACACCAAAATTAACAAAAACACCCTGCCTGAACCATCTTTCCTTCCTCAAAGTAAGACATTAAGATATTAACGTAAATATCAAGTGTAGCATTAAGATTAAGAAGCATTAATTAGCAATGAGCATTAACTGACATACAGCTTTAACATCCTTGAAGTGCATTTTGTCAAAGTGCAGCAGACTAGGGAGAGTCGACTTGCTGTGCCATGCTGGTCTGGCTGTTCTCAGTTGGAATAAACTTTGGGGGCCTACACGGAAGCTGGGGGGGACTTTTTACAAGGGCCTATAGTGACAGGACAAGGGGTAATGGGTTTAAATTGAAAGTGGGGAGGGTTAGATTAGATATCAGGAAGAAATTCTGCCCAGAGAGGGTGGGGAGGCACTGGGACAGGTTGCCCAGAGAAGCTGTGGATGCCCCATCCCTGGAAGTGTCCAAGGCCGGGCTGGATGAGGCTTTGAGCAACCTGGTCTAGTGCAAGGTGTCCCTGCCCATGGCAGGGGGGTTGGAACTGGATGGTCTTTAAGGTCCCTTCCAACCCAAACCGTTCTGTGATTCTGTGATTGTCTGGCTGAAGACAAAACAGTCGTGTGGGATTCACACCCCTTGGTAGGAAGTGTGTAGACTAAAATGGTCTTTAGGATGGAGAGGAAGACTTCTTTGAAGAAAGAATATGAAAAATGTGTTGGTTGTAGGGTTGTGTTTGCAGTGGCATGGGAAGTAACCACCCCTTTCTGAATGTGTATTTAATATTTCAGGAGTCAAAAAAATCAGTACTGACCTGCTGAGAGAGGGAGCACCTATAGAACCAGACCCTCCAGTCTCTCACTGGAAACCAGAAGCTGTGGTAACTTTCACTTGAAGTTGTTTTTTTCTTTTCTTGTTATGTTTGGGATTTTTCCTATACTTTCTGTTGACAGTAGCGATAACTTGCAGTGTCTGAGCTGCTGCTTTTCATCACAGCCCTCAGATAATGGCATACTTTTCTCCTCTCCAGCAAGCGTACGGAACAGTTGAAATAACTTACAGTCCCTAAGTGTTAGTTCAGCCTCCCGTGTGCATCCCCGTAAAGACCGTTGTGTAGAAGCTGCAGCCCATCTGCGCGTGCCGCCGGTGGCGCGTGCTGCTCTGAGCGGTGTGTCATTCTGAACTCTGTGCCATTAGCAGTATTACGAAGATGGCGCTCGAATTGAGGCAGCTTTTCGAAACTTCATCCATCGGGCTGATGCAAAGCAGGAGGAAGACAGCTACGAGATCTTTGTCTGCCATGCCAACGTGATCCGCTATATCGTGTGCAGGTACGTGCTGGGTCACGCGTTCCTCGGTGTGCTTTCAAAGGGCTGTGCTGTACCGAAACGGGGTTGGGGTGTACCACCACCGTGTGAGATGTGTTGCCTTGGCTTGTTTGGAGGGGGTGGAGGTCAGTGCCTGCGTTGTGAGCAGCTCTTTCTGCCACCTCACCGCAGGAGTAGTTTGCAGATGCAGGACACGTCTGAAAATGAGAACGCTTTCATTCTGATTCTGAGGTGAAACTGGCTAAATTGGTGAGACCCAACATTTTGATGTGTCTGACCAGTCTCTTTAATACCGTATGCTTCTGCTTCCCGTAAACCCGAGGACACAGTGCCTGTGTGGGCTGTTGGAAAAGACAAATAGAGCATCTGACTGGATGTGCCTTTTTGAGGTGACATGATCTTACATAATGAAAGGTGGGTTTAGTTGGGGGAATTCCTTACTAGTCGAAACTTTTGTATTATGGTCAAGTTGTGTTAGCATGTGTTTGCAGTAACATCCAGTATTGGATTAGAGGGGAGAGTGGATCTTTCCACTAACATCAAGGTGGTTCGTGAAGGAGGAGACAGTTCTGGGTCTTTGCCTGTCTCTGTATCCAGTCAGCTGAGTCTGTTTTATTCCTCTTCCCTACCAACAAAGCCCTGTCTGTACGATAATTTGTCTTGGGCAGGACAGATGTGATTAAACTTTAATCTGATCAATACCTACATTGTATTCAGTTAGCTTTATTTAGCTGAGATAGGTAAATGGGGGCCTGTCTGCTCGGCAGACTGCTGTAGAGCTCAAGATTGCTATACTTAAAATTATTGATCAGGTAAACAGAATGTTCTTTCCTGTGCCAAAAAAAGATCATCTTGCTGCTACCTAAGCTTTTTCTGAAATACTTGGGGTTTTTTTTTGCTGTTTTTGCTGTTTCTTCCCTCCTCTATGCCTCCATTCCAGGCTATCCGATAGCGCAGCTGGACACGGTCCATGTAACGTTCCCTTTCAATCTAGCGAGACTGTAGCTGATTTCGTAGCCCTTCCGAAAGACGCGTCAGAGCCAAACCCAAGTCATTCCTCGGTATCCGAGGCAAAAGATGTTTGAGACAACATGGTATTTCTTCCAGCTGTTGACTACAACTGATTGAGCTCCTGAGGCCGCTCAGTTAGGAGTGTCAGAGTAGCTGGAGACTAGCTGTGCTGCTGCATTTCTAGAAAAAGCTCGAGGTACTTTTTTATTCCCACTTCGGGGGGCAGCATTGTTGATGGAAAGTAGTTCTGGTGGATAGGCACGTGCGGGCAACTGGAATGGATCTTGCCTGCCTGTCGCTGCCGTTGTTCCGTACCCGCACGTGTTGCTACGGCTGAGGTGGTGAGTAAGTGTGCTGCTTGCGCCCTTGGCCTGGGGAGGAGGCCATGGGGTGGTGAGCCACGTTCTGACCTGGCCTGACCCACGCAGGGTTGTGTGGGGCTCAGGGACCAGCCTGACCCTGCGCATCAGTTGCTCTGAGCGCTCCCAGCAGCCGGACTGTTAGAGCCTCCACCTTGGTCAGTTTGAACTAACCCTGTCTGCGGGAAGCGTACCCATCTGCTCATCCCTTCAGTGCCTGAAGGGGCTACAAGGAAGCTGGGGGGGACTTTTTACAAGGGCCTGTAGTGACAGGACAAGGGGTAACGGGGTTAAATTGAAAGTGGGGAGGTTTAGATTAGATATCAGGGAGAAGTTCTTCCCGGAGAGGGTGGGGAGGCACTGGGACAGGTTGCCCAGAGAAGCTGTGGATGCCCCATCCCTGGAAGTGTCCAAGGCCAGGCTGGATGAGGCTTGGAGCAGCCTGGTCTAGTGGAAGGTGTCCCTGCCCATGGCAGGGGGGTTGGAACTGGATGGGCTTTAAGGTCCCTTCCAACCCAAACTGTTCTGTGATTCTGTGCTGGACTCTGCTTATGCAAGTGCATTGTTGGCACTGGCCCCGTTAGCAACGTGGTGTTTCTGTCAACTGCACAAGAAAAATCTTCTCTCTGAGGCCGCCTGTGGAGCGTTTGCAGGCGTGCTGCTGTGACCAGCGAGGTTTTCCCTCCACTGGAACAGAAGGCGATGCCAAGAGGGCGCGGCGGTGGGACTGCTACGAATTAACACCTTTTATTTTGTTTTGGACAGAGCGTTGCAGTTCCCCCCGGAAGGCTGGCTGCGAATGTCCCTTAACAACGGCAGCATAACTCACCTGGTGATACGGCCGAATGGGAGAGTGGCGCTTCGCACGCTGGGGGACACAGGCTTCATGCCTCCCGACAAAATCACGCGCACCTGAGTGAGCGGAACTGATGGCTGTCCCGGAGCTGCCTCTAGTCTCTTTGCACTAGTACATTCAGCTGCAGTACCACTAGATTGTTACCTGTTTTGTTGGGGTGTGATGCTGTCTTAAAATGTCCTTTAGCCCCCTGCCTCTGTGCGTATTCACATCTGCCTTTCAGTCCAGGGAAGAACAGCTCTTCCTACGCCTGAGGCTCTCCAGGCCTCAAGTGTTCCCTGAAACTCAAAGCCGAGCTGTGGAATATGAGGAGATTGAATGTCTCTGTGCTCAGCAGGTGCAAGAGCACTGACTTCCCTCCCTCTGCGAGTTTCTCTAACCAAAGCTTGCTACTGTGGATGTTTTTTCCTGTGCAGGAAAGCAACTGGTGCTGGGAACTGCAGGGAACGGCCTTGTATCACGCTGGGGCTGGAAGTGAAGATGCGCCAGCTTGTTTCAGCTCCCGCAGCAGGGACAAACAGGGTGTTCTGCTGTGCAGGGGACAAAGGGATAGGGCTTCCTTTTTTTGTAAGCTGTTGAGGATGTACATTTGTTGTGTCGTCGTTCCCCTCTGCCCCCAAAAAGTTCATGTAAACTGTGCCTGGAGGCTGTAAGCATAAAGAGGGTAAAAAAAACCCCATTTGCCTCAGAGCTGTGGTGCTAGAATTAACTGCTGCTTTATGACGTGGTCCTCCATCCTCAGGAGCACTTCAGGCATCTGAACAGCGTGCTTGGGTCTCGTAAAGCCTTGAACTAGAACTTGGTGTGTAGCAGGAGGTGAGGTTGTAGCAGGAAACAGAAGGAAGGGAAAGCAGCAATCTTCTGAGAGTGCTTCCAGTTACTGACCCGTGTTTCTGAGGGGTAGGGTCTTTTCTGCTGTTCCACTGACTTGTATTTGGCCCTGCCTTGCTTCCAGAGCAGCGCAGTAATCCCGGGTGCAGGGCAGTGCTGCTTCAGGGCAGAGGTTCTACTGTCCTGGAGCAAACTGCTGCCTCCAACTCCTGTTGCCCGAGCCTTGGAAAGGTGTCTGGGGTGTGGCGCAGGACGCTGTCAGCGGCTCCTCGGTACAGCCAGGACACCGCTGGGCTTGTGCTAGGCACTACGCAGGTGGCCGAGGACTAGGGTGCCGTTTTGGGGGCGCAGAAGCAGGTCAGCTTACCGGGTGCCTGAAGCAGAGAACTTGGCTTGGGTCACACCTGGAATGTTGGAGAATCCCATGGTAGGCAGTCTGCCGTGGCAACGGAGCACCAGCTCTGGGGCGGTAACTAACTTGTTTGACAGGTTCTTATCACCGAGGATGTTGCCGAGACCCTGAACCCCTCCTGTCAGCGCTGTGGGAAGCACCGCCCTGGCACCCAGCCGAGCCAGCCAAGGTGCCAGGGCTTGCTCGGTACAGGGAGATTGCAAGGGAACGGGGGCTCGTAGGGAACGAAACGTGATTGTTGTGTAGTGCAAGCTGCAGGGGCGAGGGGAAACTACAGTGACATCTCTCATTGATGCAATGAGGATAATTTACCAGGTTTTGTCTAACAACTTTTTAAAAGTTTTGAATAAAATAACTGCTCTGTCTGTCTTGTCTCTTGGGGCGAGCAGCTGCAGGGCTTTGCTGCGGACCGTGTGGTGCTTGTGTTCCCGCCACCTGAGCTTTGCATCCCACCAGGCCTGGGGCTGCAGCTCACGTACCAGAGCTGCCCGCAGAAAGGGCTGCGAGCCCGCCGTACGCCGGAGGGGGCCGGTGTGCCGCAGCCCGTTGCCTCCTGGCGTTCTGGCAGCCCTGTCACTCGTCCCTGCCAGAAGAGGAGCACGGGAACTAGCGAGGTGAAAACTCTGTGCGTGTTCGTTTGCGTGTGCGTGCATTACCCTCCTCACCCGCGGACCCACCTTCCTGGTGCCGGTGCCGGGTTCCCGGCCAGCATTGAGGGGATACACGGCACCTCTGCACGACGCTGGCAGTGCCGCTTGGGGTGGGGGAGGTTGAAATTTAAGTACCTGTTTTGTAGAGCGTTGGGACTTGCTGTTTCTCAAACAGCGTGAGACTTCAGGTCTTCAGTGGCAAAACCCGGCACGTTGTGCACAGGAGACGGTGCCGTTGTGTGAGCCAGGCCGGGACAAACCCGTCGTTGGCCGTGTCCCGGCATCAGGCCAGCCCCTTCTCGCCGCGCCCCATCAACTCCACACAGCGTGACACCTCAGCTACTCGTTTATTCGGAACAGAAAGCAGGGTAACTGGTGGTAAGGTAATGCTTGGCTCGTTAAAAAAAATCCCCACAACTAATCTTTTGCGCTTTTAAAAGAGAACTTTTGGCCAAGAAAACACAATTCAGGCAGGATCAGTGTCTCCACAGCCTCTGTGTAGAAGCGCTTTCGTCCCGATCAGAGTGCTACGTAAGTGCCTACCCTTCCTCACTAGCCAAAGGAAACATCCCCTTAGGAAAACGACCTCTTAGGATGCAGTACAGCTGGACTAACGCACGTTACAGAACTGTTAAAACCAATCTTCTCTTGACTGAACCAAACCAAAACTAATCACAAAGTGAAAGGGAAGGGGCTGCTGGGTGGGTGGGGTGAGGGTCTACGTGTACGTACTCGTAATATACATTTAAATACTTAACAAAGAAAGCAAAGCATAATAAAGGTAAAAAGGACAAAACCCAAAAGTACCAGCAGGGTCAGCATCGGTATCCTGGGACAAACTCCGCCCCCAAGGGCAGCATCTCCGGACGGAACAGCAGCTGCACACACGGCTGCGCTGTGAATGGAGCCGTAACACCATGGTATCGGGCAATTACTTCTCGTCTGGGTCATTCCTCCAGGATGAGAGACTCGTTTACATTAAAGCATTAAAAACCCCCAAATTAACAAAAAACCATCCCCAAAACAACTGACCAACCCCAAATGGTAAAACTGCAGGGATTTGGGACCTGAAGTTGGAGATGACAGAGACTGCTGCCTCAAAACCGGACGCTCAGGGAGCGGTCAGGAGCCGTCCTTGGGAACCTACCCCCAGCTGGATGTCTGGGGCGGCAGTGAGCGGGAGGCTCCTGTGTACAGCTCCTGGGAACGAGGCTCCTTACAGAGAAAGGGCTGAGCACTGAGCCTTTATGAATTGATTCTAAACCAGGAGTGCGCTCCCACGGCAGAGCGCTGTCACACCGACTCGTCAGAGACACTAAAATACGTTCAGCAAGCTCAGGAGAAAAACTCTACCGTGTGTGCCCGCAGTGAGTGGATGCCACTTCTTAAAACTTCTAAAACAACAAGGATTTAATTAAAAAAAAATATGTTACAAAAGGCACTGTTAAGCTTGCAGAAGCACTAAGTGCAGTTTTCTAGGCCTGTACCGAATCGTGAACCTACCGAAGGGTGTACAGTCTGTGCATGGAACAGTCGCTGCGCTGCGCAACACACGGAGCCTGCCGGACAGGGGAGCCGCGTCAGTCGCGTGCCCGAGGGGGTCCCGTGCCTTCCCCCGATCCGCCCGGCGCCAGGGCCCGGCACCAGGGAACGCTCCTCGTCCCTGTTCAGCACAGCCGGCTCAGGGGTTACTCTCCGCTGTAACAACAGACAGGCTCATCCTGTTCCTACCTCGCGCGCTGCCGCCACCACCGAAGGCTGTTCTGCAGCCTTACGGTGTCAAGCAGATAAGGAAACTGTCTGGAGATCCGAAAAGCATTCCTCAATCTCGGCATCCTACTGTCGGAACATCGTTTGCCGAAGGCTGCGGAATGACCTCGGTGCCTGCCGTAACAAACGCTCGCTACCACATCAAGGCTGGAGACGTAGGAAAAGCTTAGATTTCAATACAAGTATTTCCAGCCCTTATTCCTTGCCCTGCGCAGCTGGGAAATAAGGAGCCACATCGTGGGTCGCTGGCTACCGCTACGTGTTCCAAACTAAACCGTTACAGTACCTTGCTGGTAAATCTGCTGAAATTATTGCTGATGTGCTTTTGTGTAACAGCTACCAACCTGCTCGTGACAGACGCTTCTGTGGGAAAAGAACAGCTAGTTTTGTAGACGGGTGTGTTTAACTCTTCAAGCTACCAGTTACGGGAATGCCAGTAATCTCTGTAGTGCCTCTTCACTTAACAGTCACTCTGTCCATCAGGGTGTTCTTAAGCCTCAGAACAAGCAAAGACTCGAGCTTTTCCGTGTAAATACGTGAATACGTACACACAAGTTCCCAAGCTGGTGCGTGGGTGCGTGGTCAACTCCAGACCAAACCGCCAGCACAAACGCTCTCAGCTCACGCACAGGGTTCCCATTCCCACTCGGCGCTGGAAAGCCGTCAGTGCCCGCCTGGTTTAGGCTTTTCATCAATATCGTACTTCTCGCCATCCGTTTCCTCATCAGATTTCCGCTTACTGATGAGGCGCTTCCTCCGGCCCCCCCAGGCCAGAGAAACACAGCTGAGGGCCAGCGGGGTCGTTACGAGGACGGCAACCAGTGACAGTACAACACCACCATTCCTAAGTGAAGGTGCAGCTCTGCCTTACTGGCCACACCGGTTAAGCCACAGTTACCCGACAGCTGCACCGTCACTGACTGCTCGCCTGTCACCAGGGATCTATCTCCTATATGGCATACAGACATATATTCCATTTTTTAACATACAGTTGTCCTCAACTGAGGAAAAATAAATAGCCAAGTACAAACCTCAGGTCACTTCAGTAACGCTGCCGGTTTCTCCTCCACTCTGCCAATGAAAGTCCCAGCAAGGTGAATCGTGTTTTAGTGGGCAGGCGGCTCTGCAAAATACCGCCGCTTCAACAGCGCGTCGTTGACACAAGCTGGACTGTAGCGCCCAGGACTCCCGGGGTCTGAAGGGAACGAGGTGGCGTTGCCGTACTTCCCCGGACTTCCTATTACGGGGCTATGCCTTCCTGAATTAGAATACGCCGAGGTGTTTGGAAGGCCTGCAGCGACGGTTTGGGACTTGAATCTTGCCTTCAGAGCTGGGCTTGGCCAACTGAAAGAAAGAGTCATTTTGTTAAGGAAACGGGAGTAAGGAGAGCAGCGCTTTCCCTCGGCATCACCCGCAGACCTTGGAACCGCCGCGCCAGCAGAGAAACCCCAGCTGGCAAGAGGCGGGTCTGAGGAGAAGCCGTGCCAGCACCACGTACTGCGTGTAGGCAGGCTGCCTCCCCAGCGAGGTGCCGCTCGCTCCGCCGTGGCCATTAAGAAAGGAAGCGGGAGCTTGTGAGGCACCGGGACGGTTTCAGTGCCCTTAAGAAACAGCACGGAGACCCAAGCCTGATCCTGCTCCGTGCCGCAGCTGTGCCCGAGCACCACTCCCCCTCCTCCTGAAACAGACCGCCGTGTTTGGTCACCACAGAAACACTGTCATTCCATGCTGTGTCAGGGTTCTTTCTTAAGCCAAGGAGAACGAGGAGCTAAAATTTCTTTGTTACACTACAGAAACCTTGCCTTTTTCTCTAAATTTTACCTTAAGCAAGGCAGAATGCCCCCAGGTTGATCCCAGCACGTGCGAATCACTCCCGTTCTTTTACATGTGAGGCAGTTCCTTAAGCCAAGCCGCTACAGAAACCACACTCCAAGCTAAAGGTGTTTTATAAGGTTTTAAAAACCAAGTAACTCCACTTATTTAAGACCTTTCAAAAGTTATTTCCTCCTGACACACCTCCTGGTAGGACGGCATTGTTAGGTCTGAGTTTTGCAGCCCCAAGAGGTTTTAAAAAACAAGTAACTCCGCTTATTTAAGCCCTTTCAAAAGTAATTTCCTTCTGACACACATCCTGGTAGGAGGGCATCGTTAGGTCTGAGTTTTGCAGCCCCAATCCCACACACCTAAACCCAAAGTGATCTAGTGTGCCACTGCCCCGCCTCTGGCCGAGGCACTGCGCGGTGAAGGAGGCTGACAGAGCACACAACACCCTTTCTTACTTACACGAGAGAACAGTGCTTACACCTGGAGATCTTGCCTTAAATCGCAGCACTTTAGAACAACACTTCGGACCATGCAGACAGTGGAAGAAGAATGAAAAAAGCCTAATAATTAGCCAAAAAATTAATCACAAAAAACAGGAGACGAGAGAATTGGAGTTTGAAAAGTGAAGTCGTACAGGGCTGCCATACAACCAGGCAGATGAAAGTGTTTCCCTAATTCTACTCCACTTCAAAAATCTTAGTGAGCTTCCTGTGTTTTCTAACCCTGCCCTTGAGGGCCCCAGTACAAGGTTGCTGTACAACCAGGCATATGAAAGTGTTTCTCTGATTCTACTCCACTTCAAATCACAGAAAAATCTTAGTAAGCTTCCTTTTTTTTCTAACCCTGCCCTTGAGGGCCCTACGTGGGGCGCTATTTGAAATAGACAAAACCGAGCTCCTTTCTTTCCCCCAGTGCCTAGCACTGGGCAGCAGCTCTCCTTCCACTGACCACCTGCACTGCTTGCAGCCCTGACACATGGCGTTGCAACTCACGCCACAACGTTCCTCCCGCTTCGGCCTCTGCGAACTTCACGCAGTCGGACTTCTCCGCTGCTGCTTCCCAACTCCTACTCTGAATTCTGCGACCCACAGCACCAGCCAACTGCACTTTTTCAATTCTCACAAGCTCTGACAGAGCTTCAGGGGTTCTGTCTTTAAAGCATGTTTTGAAAAATTAATGTTTAAAACCTGTATTGAGAGGTCCTTAGTGGAAACAGTTCCGTAATCAGTGGAATTTCATGCATTTAAGCAAGGTAGAAGAAACAAGAAAATCCAGAAGTCAATACAGGTCATTTGGTGGCTTCCTGTTCCTTCCCAAGCCGGCGTGTGGCACGGGTCACCTGAGCCTGTTACCTTGCCTGCGTACACGCGGCAGGCTGTCCGAGCAAGGCACTCCTCACTGTCCAGCAGGAACACTGCCAGAAGCCACTTGGGGGAAAACTGTCCCTTTGGGTGCCCAAAGCAACAGCATTCCAAGCAGCACGCACAGACGGCGTAACACGTACGCGGGCGTCCCACCAGACGCAGCCCGCTTCCACCGCCTGCGCGGCAGAAGGCGACAGCTCTCTGCAGGCGCCTAACGCCGGCCATCGTTCACACCGGAAACGCCTTCGGGCTGGGGTAAGGGAGGGTAAAAATAAAAGATTTAACAAGAAGGTAAGCCAGAAGGCATGAAATTCACTTTAACATCACTGCAAAACTTAAGTACGCGGAGCAATGCGGCATCACCACGCTGCATCCAACAGGATGAATCGCCAGCCGACATCGCAGTTACCGTGAGGGCCGACGGAGGGTCCAAGCCCTAAGGAATACAGCAGCAACTGAGCCGCCTGCCAGCCGGAAAACACGTCACGCTCCGCAGGCCTTGGCTTTCTGTTCCGTTTGCCCGCACAGACGAGCGGAAGTTATTTGGAACCGCAGTGGAATGGAAGGAATTTGACTGCAGCAGCAGGAAACCTTCCTTAGACACCAGCCAGACAGGCTTGGTGATTAATGGCACAAACCCACGAGCAGTTATCACCGCTGAATAGCTAAAATAATGGGTTTGTGAGCAACAAGGCCTGAAATGCCAGCAATTCAAGCTGTTCTGCAGCTGACCCGCTAAAAATATGATTTCAACGCATTGAATTGAATTTGCAGAAATACCTTTGCCTGTCAGATGACGAGTACGACTGCACCACGTGCTTCCACTTGTAAATAACCGGGTATTTCTGTGGATCAATCTCTACTGCTTCTATAGCTGCTAAGACATCACTGTCCAGCTTCGAGGGCTGCTCCCTGGAACAAAAACAGAAGTAGATGAATAGAGAACCACGTGTTTGTTCAGGCAACAGAACATCCCCATTCCACACCATTTATTTTCCATGTAAGCAAACAAATTGCTGGCGCTCCTCTCTAAACACAGCTTCTCTGTGAACTTTTTCCAGCAGGCCCACACATAAATGCCCATCCATCATCACACAGTAGTCTCATAAAGGTTTGAGAATTTGATCTGAGGGCATGCCAAGGGGGCAGGACACTGTCGACGTCGGGCTCACGAACTGTTGTTCAACTCATGTTGAACTGACCTGGAAACAGCTCTGCTTCCTTTTGTTTCAGACCAGGCATGCAGGTGATGAGCTGCAGGGAACACTAAGGCGGACGCACGGACGCACTTTCAGACCACCATTCAAGGCTGGCTGAGCTAGTGTCGCTGCCTATCACATAACTACACCCTTGCTGCCAGCGACACTACGAACAGCATCTTGTTTCGCACACGTGAACCAAAGGACAAGTAAGTTGAAAAAGACAATTCTTACCCAAGCAGGAAGAACTTCTTAGAATTGTCATCTGTGGACGAGGACTTCAAAACAAATTTCTGGGAAGAAAATTCTTGCTGCTGTTGTGCTTCATTAGCCTGAATTCCAGATTCTGTGGACAGTCTCTCCTTTTCTGATGGTATTTTGTGTTCAGCCCTTAGCCTGGTCTCTCCACGTTTCCCTGTAACACTCGGCACAGAAGAACTTGGCGGTGAAACTGCGCAGTAGCTCTTATCCAGATGGTCCTTGGGCATTCTCACCTGACTTGCTCCTTCAGCCAAAATTCTCTCAATCTCAGGTTTTCCAGTGATTTTATTTGACTCTCCAGCAACCTCTTGTTCTTGGAATGACAGGCTTTCAAATTCTGACATTAAGTTGGAAACGGGTGAGACGGGGCACTCTTCTCCATCATGCAAATGCTTTCTGTCACTCATCATCCTTCCACTGGGTGCAGGACTACAAAACCCGTTTTTGCTGGGAGCAGCCGCCTTTTCGTAGTGCCCAGGGCAATGTGCTGTTTCCATGATGTTCGCCATACGCCCCATCGACAGGATGTTACACTCGGCTTCCCCAATAGCATCAATGCTGGGTTCTTTGGCCACGAGAGGTTGGCTGATATTCCGTGCTGCGTTTTGTCTGTTTTTGATTTCTTCTAAACTCATGTCATCATCGTCCTCATCCAAAAATGCTCCAACAGAAATGGAATTGCAGCACTTTTTACTCTTGCCTGGAAAGTTTTAATAAAAGCAACACATAAAGAGACTTTCAACAGAACGCCAATCAAAAAACAGGAAAAACCACCCCACCTTTACACTTTATTTACTGAAGCCCCCTCTGATTTTATTTACGCCACAGCGGGCACTACCCTAACCAAAGCTACAAGTGCAAAATGACGTTATGGCTGTACCATTTTTACAAATAACCTCCAATATCCTCATCATTTGAGAACTGCATTCACACTTCAATCATCAACCAGCAGCAAAGGATCAAGTCAGGATCAGGCAGGATCGTGTAGGAAAACGCCACTGACACCGAACAGCTTAAGTTTTCATCTCTTCCAAAGCACAGAGGCTTACGACTACTCTGGTGACTACCCTTCAGGGTCTTGTTGGCCCATGTTTATCCCAGAGCCCCTTCAAATCTATAATCACAAGGGACAGGAAGAGGAAGGAGCACAAAGATTCAGGATTAGTGTGTGCCTTCTATAAGTACGGGGTTAGCAGTGGCATAAGAAGGTACAAAAGCTTTCCTGGGTTTTGTTCAGTGTGTCTTTCACCCTCAAATGTAAAGATTTATTCCTGTATTTTAAGAAGTTACTTATTCTCTTATCTGTGGATTACGAAATTCTGTGACACAAATTCCCAAATGCTGATTAAAAACATATTGAAGATGGAGGTTTTCTTACAGGAATTTCACCTGGGGGCTACATTCAAATACAGTGCTTCACGAGAAAGATAAGGAACATCTAAGGAGGTCTGTTCTCACTCTCCTACACTCACTGTGTCGTCTCCTTTTTCAGTACTGTGATCAGACTGTTTGGGTCACAGCAACAGCATTACTAATAGCAACCACAACAGGTGAATGCTACTTCCCCTGGGTACCAAGCTTTTTCTCTCCCTCTTCTCCCTAGGTACAACCTGTTGTTTGCAGCATTTGGCCTTTTCTTACCAGAAGGGTGGGGAGTTTTATATCTGTTGCAGGTTTCATTTTCCCCTGTTTCTTGCTGAGCCTTTTCGCTCATTTCCCGATGACTCAGGTACTCTTCTAATTTTCGCAACCCCTCCTGGGAAGACAGATCAACAAAACAGCCCAGAAATTCCCAGTATTCAACCCACGGGAACCCCAGCTCATGTGCTAACTCCCTGCAATAAATAAAATAAAACGAATCATTTGTGAAGACATAAGTATTAGTTTGACAAGAACTTTTCTGAACACATTTTATCAGCTAATAATAGGAGTACAAATGTGCAACTAGGCAACACAGTTCCGCAACAATCAACAGTTGGCAAAAGCGGTATTTACACATCCTGAGCACACACAGTACCATCTCATTTCTTCTAAAATATTTCTCAAATTTAATCTAATACTCTTAAAGCGGGCACCATAAATACAGCTATTTTTAAGCTGACTGTATCCAGCCATCAGACAGTTGACTCCCTGCTGATAATCATACTCTGAATGCTGTTCCGTTCCATAGCTGTTCCCATTTGGAAACGGGAGCAGGTAGGAGGAGGTGAGAGGTTATTTTAAAGGAAGACACCTAATCAGCTGTTAACAAAGTCTGCTTTGTCCATATACTGCTGCCACGAGGTATTTTAACAGCAAGGGCACATACCACAACACAGCTTTCCTAAGGCAGAACATCTGTACTGGCATCTTTTCATTCTGCTTTCTTTTAACAACCCCCCAACTTCACCGACAAAGCAGGCTACGCATTAGTTTAGATCTTCGGACAAATCAGGCAAGTAAATGTTTGAGAAAAGCATTCTATAAACCATCAGTAATAGTTAAAATAGGTTTTTCTTTCATTCCAAGGGTAGCTCTCACATTTTTAGCTATTTGGTTTACACAAAAATACAGTAAAAATCCAACTACAATATGCTTCATAAATATTTCTGCCCATAGCTACTGCCCAAAGATGCCATTCAGCAAGCAATAACCACAGTCTCAGCACAAGCCTTTGGCTTTCAATTGCTCTGTCTGCTGAGTCTTTATACTGATAATCTCTCAGATACCTTCCGACTCTTTCAACACCTCTCTCCAGATCAGATTTCCTGACATGGTGAAAGAAGCCGGCTCTCTCACGAGGTGGAGTCTTCCAAAGCCTGCGAAATTCTTCAGCCTTTAAAAAAACATAAATAATTAGAAAGACCTACCCCCCACAAGACCGACTCAGGATGAAGCTAACCCCATGCTGGCTAGATGTCTACCCACAGGTCAGGAAGGGATCTCGCTGCTGCCTGCATGTGAACAACCAAAGTTCTGCCACATGTATGGCTCAATTCCAGCTACGGAGAATCCCGCTTCTGATCTCAAGCTGCTCCTCCCAGTATTACTGGTTATTTTGTTCTCACAACTGCTTTTGGTAAAGAGTAAGGACCATCGTGTATAACCACCTTAAAGTAAACTGACTAGATCCTGTCTGCCTGCTTTTAATTCATTTGCAGCCAGGACCAGGTATGTCCTACCATTTCCCCATCCCATTATCATTTTAGTTAATGGTAAATGCTCTCTTGGTCACTGGTTTCTAGGGTGCAAAGGTGGTATTTTTATATGCACGTATTCAGTTTCACAGGCTTGCTACAATTATTAGAATATATGCTTGCTAGTTTGAAGTTTGAACCTGAACTGCTAAAGGGAGTGAACTAATGGACTTTTGTAAAATCCATCCAGACTTTATGCCTTTATATGACAAAAATCAGAACCAATGACTAAGAATTACCTTCAGACATTGAAAGTAACTGTCCGTAATCAAAATAAGGCATTGTTTACACCCTACGTAAAATTCTTCAGAGTATAAAATATATTTACATCTCTGTCACGTGAACAGAAAATTAACCGATAAGCATGTTTAGAAGAAACAGCATTAAGCGTTGTGGTAAAACTCAGCCCTGGAAGAATTCAAGCACTAGATGGCAGAAGGTCCTCGGCTGTATTCATTCACTATTTCTAAAGCCATCACCCGCCCAACACATTTGTATTAAACAGATGAGCCACAGAAATGCCTATAGATTGATAACATATTTAACTGGTATCTAAGTATTCCTCCTGAAAACTAGACTTTGCTTTTCTACTGTACAATCAATACTTTTCCAAAAGGACCACAGCTCTGGTCATCAGTTTTAACATTTAGAAAAACAGTTAATTCAAGAAGCAGAGGGGATAATCTGCTGCTGACACCCAGCGACAAGTTCCAGAAAGGAGAGGACAATACGGTTAAGATCTTTTAAACCCAGTCATAGCCACGGGGAAAGGCTTTGTTTCAGACTACAGACTAATTATCTGTGATCAGTGGTTTCTCCGAGTGCGCTCTGACTAGCTTCCAAGAGGAACAAGAGAAGAACGACCTTCTTTTGACTGAGCTTCCACTCTTCTTATTTACACCACGTTTCTATGTTTTCAGCAATAAAAAAATATTTAGAAGTTCCTGTGCTTGTGTTGCTTCTTCTCTACAGAGGAAGATCCATCTCTTCAAGAAAGAGAAAGCCATGGCCTGTACCAGGAACAAGCTACACCACACAGTGAGCTGTGGGTGCATCTTCTAATGGTTCTTTATTTAAAAAAAGCCAAAGACAGGCATTAGTCATAAGAGATTGTATCCTCACCTTTGAGGGGCTCATGGGGCCTGCGAAAGCTCTTATCGACAGCACGGGATCTTTGGGGCTGCCAGGGTATTTAGATAAAGTCCTCTGGGGGCTATCGTCCGTCTGATCGGGCGACCATGGTGCACCAATTACAGGAGCTGAGGAATTGTCTTCTGCTCTCAAGAGTGGTACATAGTATCGACCTAAAATAAGTAATACAAAGCTTTCTTAAGAAGTTTGTCATGTTGTTCTGCTGCTTCTTCCTCGAATATCAATGCACCTGTCTACGGACCAGCTGACTTTATTTCATTATTAAAACTGCTCGTAATTCAAACTCACTGTTTCAGTATTTACTGCCTGCTTACAGATGGGATTTTCGTACAGGCTTCCTTCACTCAAATACAAAAATAAAGGTATTGATACATATATCCCTGCCCTAAGGATCTTCCACAAATGCCAAAACCTCCTTTTGCAAATGCCTAAACCCACATGTGACAGTGAAAAGTTCTATGTCAAAGAAATTAAAGGACTCCCCAGCATGACAAATAAATCTCTTCCTCTGTAAAGGTCTTTTGTTTGCTTCTAAACCTCCTGCTCCAGCCCGGCTGAATCACTGAAGGGCCATGTCCACATTACAGAGCTGTGAGGGTAACCTCAGCATCAATACAGTAGCAGTTCTGACCATGTAAATTAAGAGACAAAAGGTTTTCTGTTCCTTCTCAGTTTCAGTTTCCTTTTGGTTTTCACAGCACCGTACAGTAGCATCATTTGTGAACACGGATGCTACGGAAAGCAAACCGACTACAAGACAGCAAAGAGCCAAAACACACACTGGATGGAGTATAAAACTGCATACAGACCTTTCAAGTACTCTCTCAGCTTTTCTTTCAGTTCTGCAGATTTATTCTTGCTTCTTTCACAAACTACCTGTTAATATAATTTTAGTTGTTTGTTAGTGAAGCGCAAGACATCAGTCTCAAATCGATTGCTGTGTCTGTTCTTTCTGAACAGTCACATTATTGCCTCTACCCATCTCACCCAGCACTTAGTTCACAGCAGAACCAACCACTGAAACACATCCACATCCATAAAACGGATACTGGGAAGAAAAGGCAGTGAACCATAAAATCTAGAACTTTTCCCTAGATGCAATCAGCATACCTTTCATGTTACGCAAGACTGATGAGGCACAATGTCTTTGGTTTTGTTATGGATGTGGAGAGACTTACTTCTGCTGGAGTTTGATCATACTTGTTCCTTGGATTTTTTACAATCGCGGGGTGTGAGGTGAGCACGTTAACAACATCCAAATTCCCAAACTTGCAGGCAAAATGCAGTGGAGTATCAAATCCCTGCAGAGGGAAAAAAGGAAAATTCACATGCATTTGGGAACATGATAAAGTCAACCCCACGTATTTTACTTTGAGACAAGGAAAAGTAAATAAATGTCATGACTAGTTATCAGGGCTCTACAGATCCTCTCCCACCATCCTGTAGAATAATGATTATTAAAAACCCACAAAAGTCAGGAATAGCTCATTTTGCTAGAAGCGTCCTCTCCTATTCTCTTTCCTTCTCCCCTGCACAGCCTTAACACCTTCCAGCTGTTGCCACAGTAAGAAGAAACTGGCCAACATCTAAATCTCACCATTTTATCCGGTGTGTTAAGGTACAGGTCAACAATATACTGGATGCGCTTCTTCAGCATCGTCTCGTTATCATCTGGATACATAAGCCGCATAAATTCAGGATTTTCCAAAGTGTCCAGTAATAACTGGCAAATAGCAGGTTGATTCTCCTTGGCAGCAACATGCATGACATTGTACCTACACCCTTCCTGAGAAAAAAGACAGATGTCAGAACGGACTGAAATCTGAACAGCTTTCTGACACCCGTGCGCTGAACTGATTAACTGTGAGGACACAGAGGTTCCCACCCTGACTCTCACATTTTTACTTCACGTTAGGAAAAGATGTTTACAAAACAGTACAAAAACATTCAGACTGCACTGAATTATATGATACTGTATAGACTTACGCATCTTTAAACCCAAGTATTCTTTCAATTAATTGAATTATTCTTATACTCAGCTATATTCTCTTTTTACATCTAGGGCAAAAATGTGGCCAAAGAAGGTGTCACATAATAAGATACCACATAATAAAAGGAGGTAAGAAGTTCACTGTACAAAATGAGCAGGAAAATGGGTATATATACATATATGTATATACCCAAAATTCAGTTTGCCGTAATGTAGTACCTACAAAGCGTCAACAGCTTCACAAAGCTGGTCTGACAAGCCATTTGTTAAAGTAGGATTTGGTCACTAAGCCAGAACTTGGATTTTTCTATTTTGTTGTTTTTTTTCTACCTGTACAACTGTTGGATTGTCTCCTGACCCAATCAGATAGCGAGGGTTGCTCCAAGTAAGTTCTGAAAATGTCGCTGTATCTCCTTTCTCAACAGCCTTCCGAAGTTTAGCCGTAAGATCTTGAGTACGTGGACTTTTGTAACTGTTGGGTCTCTCTTTATTAGCAGTTTCGGTCTCAGGGGAGCACAAGACATCTATCAAAACACAAGTAACATGTTTCCAGATACATTCTTTTCAGTGATCACTATTTTCATACCTAGCCCACGAAAATAAGCTTTCAAAATAAAATATGTATTGACTTGCATCTTTAATGTACAGGAATAAAAAAACTGAGGTCAATGACAAGACATTGAAAAATACTAGTAGTTCGTAATAGGGAGGGAGGAGAATATGACAATCATCTTGTAAAACTCTTTCAGACTGTTAAATTTTATAATTACCAGTCTGTTTCCATTAAAAATTAAAAGCGAAATTCAGCAAGAAGTAAGAATTTTTTGAGTATTAAAACTGCTTTTCAGGCTCTGTGGCTACTGAGTCCCTTTAATCACAGACTGGTTTGGGTTGGAAGGGACCTTAAAGACCATCCAGCTCCAACCCCCCTGCCATGGGCAGGGACACCTTCCACTAGACCAGGTTGCTCCAAGCCTCATCCAGCTTGGCCCTGGACACTTCCAGGGATGGGGCATCCACAGCTTCTCTGGGCAACCTGTCCCAGTGCCTCCCCACCCTCTCCGTGAGGAACTTCTTCCTGATATCTCATCTCCATCCACCTTCTTTCAGGGTATGATCAGTGTTTACCAGTTTATTTCTAAACTTAAGAACTTAATTAACAAGTAAATACGGTTTTAATATACTGTGCGATTTCATCAGCGTCTTATTAAACCCGAAAATCCTGAAGTCCAGGAGTATACTAAAATCCTACCAAATAAAACCACAGACTACTAAGCAGCATAGCTACGCAGGCCATTACCAACATTTCAGCTTTAGAAGAGTAACATTTTTTAGTGTAAAATTCATGTGAACCAGGGCAACAGTTGCTTTTAAGAGTAACCAATTTCCTGTATCATAACATAGTCCACAGCAACCATACATTGAGGGCCAAACCTTATGCTTTAAACACAAAAAGCAGTTTTTCCGTAGATTCCTGGGGCTCTAATTTACTTGGCAGTACTTTTTACAAAAGAAATGGCAGGATTCCAACATACTCTACTTCTTTATTTATTTCTGTACATAATCGTTGGTGCTCCTTCCTTCCTGGAAAAGCGTCAATGAACTTTAGGGATGACTTCTCCAGTGACAGTATCATTTTATACAGAAGTAAAACCAGATATGAATTTAAAAAAATAAAATCTTATTTCTATTGCCTGTTACTAATTTATTTCACATAAAATATGTAATTAAATACTGGTTGTCAGATCTGTTTATACAGTAATTTTAATTGGGGAGGAAGCTCTGGAGCTGTGATCTAACACTTGTTTACTGCTTATCTGAAACACCACTGCTCTAAAGGGACTTCAACTTACTAAGATGTTTCACCCTCTGAATTTTTTTCTGGTATAGTGTATTGGTTATGAAGTTGTTGCTTCTTCTCTCCTTAAAAATTAACAGACTGTACACTGCATGTATTGTACCGAGATGAACACCCCCACTCACCTCTGTTAAAGGATCCCATTTTCACTGGAGACAAACATAGAGAGGACTTGCTTGGAGATGGGAAATAATCACAGATTCCTTTAGCAAATTTCTCAGCATCCTCCCTGTTTGAAAAAGCTTTGAAACGGGAACCCTTAATCATCTTAACAGCTTGGAGAGCTTCCTTTTTGTCTTCATAAACATGTATTCTCTCTGCAACAAAGCACAAAGTTGAGTTATTTCAATCATCTCAGATTTGTTCCTAGAAGCAGATTATAAAATTCTCAGACCAACCTTCCAGCTTTGGTCTCAAATTGTTCCTCTACCAAACATGGCACAAGAATCAGAAGTCCATTTAAATTTTCTCTCAGGAACTGAAACTTTGCACACCCTGGTTACCACCAGGTGATGTATACAGTGTTCAGCAGCTGAACATGTTTTTAAGAGATGGCCCAGCTCCAACAAGCAAGTATTTCACATCCAGACTGGAAGGCCAACTCGGCGCTCACTCACCCTGCACTGCTTTCCATGTTCTCTTGGTCAGAATGATCAACTGTGTTACGTGACCCACTGTCACAACTTTAAGACCTCTACGCAGAACTTCACATATTAATCAAATCCTTCTCCTTCCTCTCCTTTTGCATTGATTTGTTCAAATTGAGATATCTGAATATCCTCTTTTGGAAAAAGAATACTTACTACTGTCTCAAACGACCCTTTATGCACTACTATAATCCTGCCACTAGGTAATTTAATGATTCCTCATTGCAGTATTCATCAATAAAATGTGAAGAATAACCGATGCTTCTAGATACCATTTGGCATTAAGATAGAAAAATAGGCACTCTGTTAGAACAGACGATTTAAGCTTCAACTGATGACAGTGTAAATAGTTTTTTGACTGTTTATTTGTAGCATTACTTTACTTATTCTTGAGAGATTAAAGGCACAGGATGGGTACGAGAGTAGTAGGAGGAAATAATTTCCTTCATCTGAGCTATGTCTAGCAGAGGATCTTTATGTGCATCAACTATTTTGGCAGAACAGCTGGGATGCCTCGTAACTCTGTTTCCACGCCTCAGAAGATCCAATAAATGCTATTTACAGAAACATAAAAACACCTCAGGCAATGCTTAAAATACTATCGCAGCGGTGTTCGTATCACCTGCCATACAGAAAATGGGCCATTTAGAGAGGATTGTAAAATGCTCATCATGGGAAATAAAGAAATGAACGTTTACCATTCCTTGCCAGTATGTCATCGTATACGGGACAAACGCCATAGAAGAGTGGCGGATCCCTGGAGGGTGTCTGAGTACTGTGTGAATCGACACATCCTGCTCCGCAGACTGGAGTTGAACAGTTGGTGTGCATCACTGCATCTTCTTCTGGAGGGTTCAGACCTACACAGTACCCAAAATCTGCCTCTTCACAAACACCTCCGTGACCGTTGTGATCTGCAGTTGTTTTTGAAGCTTTTTGTGCTTCTGCCCGGCTGCTATCAGGTGGGACATTTCCGGCAGCCTCCTCTGACAGAGCAGATCCTTTTTCCTCCAACATTCCCTGCTGCTCCAACAACGCCTGAGCCAATTTTTTTTCAAAAATAAACCTAGTAGTTGAGGTAATGGGCCCACATTTCAGTCCTGCTCTTACGATTTCTTCTCTAAGCTCATCAGGGGTGAGCTGCTTCAGTCGGGATAATATTGCATCCATTGTTATTTCACCTGCAGAACAGGCAAAAAAAAGAGGAGGTTAAGTTATATTGTTCTTCACAGGGTTTTTTCTACTATTTAAATACTGTATTAAAACCAAGGAAAAAAGCGTCATTAACAATTTTTCTGATTCTGAAGAGATTATCGCGGTTGCAGAGAAGACAAACTCAACACCTCAAAAACCACTTTCAAGATATACCAAGAGTTTATTTCCTCTCACAACTATTTGAAGGAGTATCCACAGCTTACATTTTATTGTCGTTTGTCCCTTCCACATTTAAGACGACTTACGTAGTGAAAATTCATGACAGACTGAGAAATACTTGATTCCTGCCAAGAAAGCAGCAATCTGTGTATGGAATGGAATCCAGTAACAAGGCGACTAGCCAGCCCCAGTAAGAGATTCTGGTTAGGCAACACCTACAGCTAAAATCACAGCACTACTTCCATTATTTCCGTAAAAATTTCTGGCTGTCAGAGGTTTAAGGCTTAAATATGATGCAGCAACCAGGGGAGTCTGGCCGCGATGCAAGGCTGGAACTACTGACCCGACGTGTTGCTTCCCAGCTCCTGTTTTGGCAGCAAAGAGCCAGAAGACAGGAACAGCTGGTCTTTTCAGATGTCCCTCTCCAACAAAGAGCGGAAGCTGGAAGAACTTCTCCCTTCCCAAAGGAAAATCCTTCTCTTTGGTGTGGTATTACAATTCGCCCCTCTCACTTTCCTCCATGTAATCCACACATTTACAGCCTCTGCACGGTCAGCAAAGAGATACTACCAACACGGTGGCACTACAAATTTTTTGCTGTGAAAAACACAGCGTTTGGGCAGCTCAAGAACATATGCTGCTTTGAAGTTATTTCATCAGACACTAATCCATGTAGCTCCCCAAAGGCTGTGACCTTTCCCTGCTGTACGCTGTTCAGAGGACAGGTTTAGGAGAGAACTCATCAGGCTGTCATCTTCCTTCAGCTCGCTTTCACCCCTCCGAAGGGAACGACCTCCCTGTCGCTGTGTCTTACGCTGGTTCCCATAGGTGTGCGTGGCTTTTTAGGACTTTATTTTCAATTCCAATACTTAATTTCAATTTCATCCTCAGTTTATGAAACTTAAAGACTACCAGAACACGCATTTGGAGCTTTTCCACAGTAATTATTCCTATTTTTTTAATCACGCTATTCTTTGGATTAACACAACTCCTAATCTTACTGCATTACAGACAAACCAATCTCCCAAGTATGAAGTCAGCATCACTGTTATTTTAAGTTAACTCTCCTCCAAAGAGCACTGGTGGAGGCATGTGGCAGTATGACTAACTCCCACAATTTGTGAGCTCTCCTGCTTTATGACCAGGGCGCACAAGCACCTTCAGGTGAGTCAGAATATCCACCCTGATGGGCACGAACCTCTCGGAAACTAACGTGAGGCTTGAACAATGAAAGGCTGCAAACACAGGTGCATCACTCTAAATACTGAATCCTAATAGGTTTATTATTCATTTTATGAGCGTGTACAAGCTCAGAAGTAATTCCAAAATTGCATCTTCAACACAGAATTACAGTATGGTTAAACTCCCTTATTTTTCCATGTGTATTGCCAATAGCAGCATCACAAAATACACCACCAAAATAGACCATGACAACTTTGCTTTTTTAATTACCCAAGGATTAAGCTGGTAAAGAACCAAACTTTTCATATATTAAAAAACCCCCACCAAAACAAAACAAAAAAACAACCCCACAACTCACACAGCAGTTTTCCTTAACTTTTAGCCATACTCAATAGAGCCAAGGAAAATTTTCACTGGAATCTGACTTCAAAACTATTGCATTTCTACTACTAGGAAATCCTACGGAAAAGATGTTAATGACAAAGTAGGTTTTCAAATATTATTACAATTTCACAGTTGTGTGAGTTTGAGGGCTTTGTTCAAGGGCCATTTCCTTGGAGAGTTTTTCTTTTTTTTAATATCTGATTTTGATTTTTTTTAATATCTGATTTTAATATCTGATATCTTGCAGTTAGAGAACATTCCCCAGCCCCAGATTATTTCATGACTATTAAGTAAAACCTCCCTGAAACTACAGGAAAGGGCTGTATTTCAGCTTAAAAAAAAAAAGCAAAGCTGTGGCAAAGCCACAGTGGATGCTGCTGAGCTACCTCCCCACAGGATTCCAGTTCCCTCACGATTACTGAGCCTCCAAGCAACCTCACTGTTACCATTACCTGACTTGCCCACAGGACTGTGAAGACAGATGGGAAAGAACTTCCCACTTATTTCTGATTCTTAACTACCTACGATTTTTTTAATAAATTTGATGCCATTGTTTTAATCGAGGGATAAAGCATGACCCTGAGGTCAATTATAATATCAAACCTTGCTATTGTAAGGATCTGCTTCTTGAGACTGTATAACTGAAGGAACACAATATAGATAAACACTCAGAGGCAAGAAAGTTTGCTGCAGAAACAACTCTATGAAAACACTTAAAAGTCAACATAATATTAAAGAATTAACTCATAAATGCTCCTGTTTTTAGGGTTCAGAACCAGCACAATTTTTCTGCAGAAGAGCAGAAATGTACACACATATAATTCATGAAGCCGAATATGCAGGAACATGCAAAATTTTTTATTCATGGCTTGAGGTTAAAGTAAAAAAATGTCATGAAGGAGCAATTTCTCTGGTATCTCATGTTTTGATAGAACTTGGCACTTAAAATTTTCTTCCTCAACTGTGTAAGAAGTATTTATTTCATGTGTCCATTACAACTCAGGCACAACTAAAGCAGAGAGTGAAATGACAGAGCAGACCAACAGTGAAGAAATCAATCTTTGGTTTAAGATCTACTGTCAGCACAAGCAGTTTTCTACATTACATGTGCTGTGAAACCAGGAAAATCGTTGGAATGACAAGTCACTGAACTGTCAGAGATGACACTCAACCAACCTGCCTCCTTCTTTCATGATAATACCCATTTGCCTGTTTGTAAACAGGAGGTCAGTTTCTCAGAGCAACAGTTGTTGGAAATCCCATGGCAGTTAATTCATTACAGCAGCAGAGATTGGGTGTTTTGGTCAACAGCATGCTGACATGTACACACACTCTTTTTCACGCAGTGCAGCTGTTTCATAGCACAGGTAATGCTCTTTCAAAAAGAAGGTTACTTGTTTTAAAGAATTCCAAAGTTTACTTGAAAGGGAGAGATTTCACTGAATAGGTCTGTTTGGACACTAAGCTCTCGGCTAACGCAAGTGTTTATTAATTTTTAACCGCACCACCTATTTTGATCTGTCAAAACAGAAGGTGACTTGCAAACCTGAGAAATGGCAGCCGCCTGCTTTAAGACAGTCCTTCGATAATCTCCAACAAGCAGGTGCAAAATGTTATTATTTGAACCTTAAAATGTGTTTTATGCATCCTCAAATGATCCAGAGTACAGCCAGCACTGATGCAGCCACCTCTTCTAGTACAGCACACAAGGCCTTGCAAGCTACCCTTAGTGCCTTCACAAACATGAAAAACTGCTTTAACGACAAATGCATGTTTGAGGTTTCTTCCAAATTAAGCAACATCTGTAAGAAAGGGTAAAAGTTATGTTTTCCCTTGTCTTACTGCATCGGTATGAAACAGCAGAATCTGTTTCCAAAAAAATCAAGACTAGTACCACGACAGAACGAACGATGGCTCTTACGGATGGCGATATTCTTTTATTGCACTACTCGTTAAATCCTTCCATAAATGAGCAGTGTAAGAAAAGAGATTTTTTTGTTGTGTTTGAGGCAGGAAGTGAGACGTATCCTGCCTTTGGCTCTCCTTCGCCCGACAGGATTTGCTCACGGCAGAATAATCGCGGCTATGCAATCGGGTATTTTGCCTATACTGCCTGTTGCCAAATCAGCCAACAGTTAGAAACTACGTGGCAGAAAGAAAACTGCACAACAAACTTGGAATAAGCTACGGGAAAGCCAGGGGGGGGAAAAAGGGGCTTCTCGGGGACGAGAAATGAACCTACATTCCCAGAGCTAGCACGGGAAGGCAGGCGCGGCGTGGGAGAGGATTTGGAGAGCAGAGAGCGAGACGCGCGAGAAGGGAGGCGCAGGGAGAGCGACCCCGCGGCCGCAAGCAGGGCGGAAGCGTGCGGTGGGAAGGCAGGCAGCGCCGGGACAAAGAGGGAACCGAGCAGCGGGCGCAGCAGCAGGGCCGGCCC